ACATTTAGAAAATCACATCTTTTTTTGCATTTTTATTGATTAAAAATTGTGTGTCCAGGCCAAATGTAGAATTGTTGGATGAATGCTTATTTATATTTCATTAAATTATGTCAATAAGAGGAATATAGAGAGTATTACACTCTTAGATAGAGCTACTACTTAGAAACTTAAAAATATTTATAATTTACTTTGTGAGGATTTGTTACATAAGTATAACCTTGTGTGAAGGTGAGGTTTGGGTATCTGATGAGCCTCTCCCTTCCACCCCAAAGTAGTGGACATGGTCCCCAGTAAGTGTTTTGTATCCTTTATTCCCCCTTTTCTCCCCCTTCCCTACCTTCTTTAGTATTGGCCCGTGTCTGTTTATCCCATCCTTGTGCCAGGTGAGTCCAATGTTTAGTGCCCATTTGTAAGTGATAACAATCATTATTCATTTATTTTTGTTTCTGTGATAATTCAAGAAACTATTTTTTAAGAAGTTACTTTTGGGAAGGAGATTAGTGCTTTTCCCTTCATTTATGAAAGTAAGATTAAATTAAATACATATTAAATATAATTTTGAAAGGTACTGAGATTCCCTTTTGAATTTTATTTCATAAGTTTCTAAATAGTGACACTCTATGGATGCATTTTTTTTTTTTTTAATCATAATTGCTTTTGTCCTGTGTGTTTTTATGATGTAGGCTTATTGGGTCTCCCTAGTGGCCAATTAAACCTATGGCTCCTTTCTATATTTATTTTTCATTAGCTGTTTTCAGGGGTGATAATTTATGAGTACATCTTCTAGTTCAGAAGACAACCTGATATTTTAAAATTAAACCTAATGAATATAACTGAAAAGATAATCACTTTTTAAGCAATAAGTACATTGCCCCAGTGTACAATTTTAGACCATATTAATTATTCCTTAATGAAAAGTTTATTCATTTGTCACAAAACACACATGCCATGAATCAGCAGTGGTTGGCAGCTTTATTTAGGAGCTTCAGACCATCAAGCACTGTGCTAAGAATTGATCGTACAATTCTGAAATACACTGGTACTTGACCCTGACCTCACAGAGTTTAAAATCTAGTCTTGTAATGTATTAAATATATAAATTAAAAAATGCAAAATAAATTGATGGAGGATCAGGAAACCTAATGCAGGGGTCAGATCTTGCCTGGAGGATGTGTGATAAAAGGGTAAGAGAAATCTCAAAAAACTCTTAAGATTTTGGTTGAGAGCTAACAGGCATGTATGAAGTAACCTGGCAATGTGAAATTGGGGGGAAAATGTGAAGATTTTCCAAGCCTTTTGAATTATAAGCCAAAGTATATACTAAGGTGTAGCAGAGGGACTGAAAGGTCTGTGGATGGCAAGACCTTCAAAATAAAAGTGGAAAAGTCAATCAACGAAAGCCAAATGAGATAGTACCTGATAGGTTATAATAGGATTTTTGTCTTTTTGTGAAAGTGTCTGAATAGGTCAATAGTTGCAAAGTGAGTGGACCTGGGGTAGGGTGAGTGTGCAGGGAATTGGTAATAGTGTAGAGGATGAGCAGGAATGGGGAAAAAATGAAGGGATGGAGGCTAATTTGGAGGCGTCACAAATCAAAGAGTGTTAACTGAGATAGAATGAGAAGCAGAAAATCTCAAGATCCATTTATGAATCAGTACGCCTTGATAGATTGTACTTGGGTAGTGTGTGAAAGAGAGGTGTAAAATGTTTCTCTTAGATTTTCAGTATTGGTTTCACTGAGAGACCAATACTGAAAAGTCAAGTCAAGTAACAAATCATAAATTTTGCTTTAGACATATTGTATATAAATTGCTTTTGAGGCACTGATGTGAAGCAATGCATTAGGCAGTTTATCTGAATCAGAATCTCAGAGATAAAATATCGATATGAGCTATTGATGCAGTATTGGTAATCGTTAGCTTATTATTGATTATAAGTTGAAGCTAAAACATGACTGAAATTACTTAACATGATCATATTGACAAGAACTTTTGAAATTCTTAACTTCAGAAAATTTCAGTTGAACTCTGTGGTTACAAGTTTAATCATTTTTATATAACTACATGCAGGAAAGTTTTAAATGATACAGTAATTTTAAATGTTTTCATTTGGGTTAAATAGAAATATAAATACTAAAGCTCAAAAAAAATCTCTTATGAAAGGAGGGGAAGAGTATGCATAAAATATTTGGGAGTTTCATTTATTCATTTATATACTTAATTAGGCACCAAAAAACATAATAGAGAGATTTGTTCAGTAAAATATTATTGCAAACACTTGCCAAAGAGATTAGTGCTGAAGGATTGAAAATGAGGCATTCCAAATAGAGGAAGACATGTGAGCAAAGGTGCTAAAGTATGAAATAGGCTCGTTTGTTCAGGGAGCTATATAAAAGACAGTGTGGATTGATCTGTAGTTGAATTCAGAATGGGCACAGAGATATTATAAGTACAAGCCAAACCAGTAGCCAGAGTTCAAATTGTTAAGATTCATATAATATAATGATGAGTTTGGATTTTATTATGTTGCTAATGGAAATTTCACATTTTAGAAAGAGTACTTTGGGTTTTATATGGAATATAAAGCAGAAACAAAGCCATCTCAGTTAGATACAAGTTTTAACACTTTTTAATGGTGTAAGCAAAAATCATAATACGCAAATTAACGTGGAAATGAAGAGAAGAGGACCACAAGACATATAAGACATTTTTGTTTACCATGAATTAAATTCACTCAGTGCGTCACCATTTATGCTAATTTTGCTGTGTATTAATAGAAATATTCTTCCGTATCACCAGTGGTAACTGTTCCCATCCCTTCCTTTCTTTTCTTTTCTTTTTCTTTTTTTGTTTGAAAGTAGGATTTATTAAGAGGACAGAAAAGCTCCCACAGTGGGAGGGGACCTGAGGGGATTGCCCCCTTTTCTTTCTTGCTAGTAAGAGAAATCTCTCTTCTTGTAACCAGTCATTAACACTGAAGAAAGACATACAATGAAAAATAGAAATGCAAGAAAAGAGGAAGCCAAACGTTAAGCATTCTGCAAACTATGCAATGTAAAATTCCTAAAATCCACACATCCGCCTTCATATCCATTCTGATTAGATGAAATCTTAGACAGTTCTGAGTTATTTTGGTTTCTTTATTCACAAGGGAAATCTAAGTTTAGTATATAAGAAATTATAATAAATATAAGCAAAAATTTAAAATTACCATATAATAAGGCTTCAGGGTGTGCTCAGCTCAGAACATGGGCCTGGGGATCATCATGGGGTTATCTGTTATTTCCAATTCCTTTCTTATTTGATGCCAGCTGATTCTGGCCCCTTCAGGACTGAGGAAAGGCAGGGAGTAAGGTGTGGTCATCATTTGGGATGAAGTTGCCTGTCACAGTTATTCTGGCATTGTGTTGCTCTGCGTGGCAGATGCAAGTACTGTCTCTTTCTCCCATATAGAACTTTTGAGGTCCTGCAGAGGCCTTTGGCGGAAGCTCCTGGGGTTCTCCGTGTCTCAGGCTAGTCATGAGGGTTTTGACACAGATCTTGGGCTTTCAAGGTCCACCATTTGTTAAGGTTCCATTTCACATTCTGCTACACAGTCCTATTTATTGAATAGTTTCATTCTTTAGGCTTTACACCTAGTTCTCAGAAGACAGACATTTTTGTCTTAAAACAGGGCTTGAGGCTTGCTCTTAACCTAGACATCTTTTTTTCCCCTCTGTCCTAATTTTTAAATGTTTTGGGTATTAAGTTAATTACACTCTCCATGTTAGGACCAAGCTCTCTAAATGGTTCCTTTGAGCCCTTTTCATTTGGCCTGGGTTGATGAGAAGAATCTCAGCATCAGTAATGTTTCTATATGGAGACAGTCTTAATGCTTCCCTTTCTTCTACCTTACTATGTTTTTATGTAAACTGGAGGAGTAGCGTTATAAACCAATGCTAACACAACCTATTACTTAATATCTTAGCATATACACAGTAGCTGATCTAGAACCTTGCTTTGGGATTTAGAGCTATACTTCATCAATGTAGTGTTTTAAGACTTTGGGACTTAAAGGAAAGTTAAGAAAGATTCTCAGTTTTATTGCCAGTGTTATAAGGTAATTGGCAATTACAGGAATGTCATGTATCAGATTGCCTGTATTCTAATTATATATTCTAATACATAGATTACTTCATAAGAGAATAAACTGAATTAGGAAGTTCTGAGTTTGTTATCATAGGGCACCAATCAAGAAAGTTTCAGTGGTGACAGTTAATATCAGTGTTAGCTTTACAGGTGTGTAATCTGCGCAGTTGCACAGGGCTCCACACCTAGAATGTCCCCATGATTGGCTTAATGTTTTGTAATTATCTTCTTGTAATTGTCAAAAATTTGTTAATAGGAAGCTTCAAAATTTTCGTTTTTCACTGTGCCCTGCAAGTTATTCATTCAGTCCTAATGAACATGCTAAATAAAATATTTCAATTAAAAACATTAAAATAGTAATATGTTTTCAGTATGAGTTGGGAGATTAGAATCTAAATGACTGACAAAGTCCCTTCTTTAAGATCTGTTAAAGTAAAAACAATATTAATACCAATGATTAACAAGCATATGCGTTTCACAAATTGTTGATATGCTTTACAGTTAGTGAATATACTTACCATAAATAAAATTCAGATTGAGTTACTTTTTAATTGATTCTTTAGTTTTTGTTAGCGTGTCTTATTTTTATCAGTAGCATTTCTTCCAGTACATATTAAATGATAAAAATGTTATGTGCAGTATCTATGGGTTACTCTGAACATTTGTTTTATTTCTTAACCTTACTACAAAATTGCGAGAGCACAATTACACTGAGAAAAATAATCTCCCATATTGTTGCATCTCTATGTAAAATTCAGTATTCTGCTAATGTAATCATCCTTATGACTAGAGAAATTTTGAGTGCTGTCTTTTTTCCCCTTTAAAAGGATTTAGTAAAATTGACTTTCATTTTTATTCCTTCTCTCTTGGAAGGGAAACATCTGGGAACAGATTTTACGAATACCCTTCATCTTGGAAATAATTAACGCGGTTCCCTTCATTATCTCAGTAAGTCCTAAAAAAAAAAATTAAAATGATTTTGTAATTAGACTTAAGTAAAATTTTTCAGTCTAAATACTGTTAAATAATACAGTAGCTAGGATAAATGAGTTTAGATTTAGGTTAGAATCATGGTATTGAACAAAATAGTAAACTCAATTGAATAACTGAGTTTTGTAAATAAATGAAAACTAATGATTTAGTGCAATAGCAAAATGAAATGTTTTTTAGAAATATATGCTCTGGAGAAGACATTTGAGCAAATGTCAATACTATCTGAAAATACTAGAAATTACTTCATATCTTGTTTTTATAAAAGTTTCTCATATTAAAGAATATATTTATCTCTAATTTAACCATAGGATTTACTAAATTCAAGTCTCTCCTTAGTAAGGAGTTTGTGGGAGACCCAGGCAACCAACAATTTGCTTCTTTATCAAAGTGCTGTCTATTACCAATTCCATGATAATTCTGTTCAACTGCAGTCCCATAAATATGTAACTCAGCACTTTCCCATTTGCAAAATTATGTTTTAATATCAGTTTGATAGAGTTATACTAATGTCGGTTGGGATTATACTTGTACTACTTTATTTGAATTTTATTTGGAAAATAAGTAGATATTATCTGAAACTGTTGTTCACTTCCGACAATTATTTTAATTTGAGTGATTTATCTGGAGTAGCAACTGGAGTTAGATTAAATGACAGGCTAACTAAATATAATTCTAATTGAAAATCATTCCCCAGTGTCTCCAAAAATGGTTGACTCTGAAGAATGTAAGTGGTAATATTATCAAAACAAAACAAAACAAAGAAACAGACATCTCAAGTTGCAGGTAAAAGAGCTATGTCTTTTACAAACCATCAAACTAAAATATTTAATGATAGAATTAACATAGTTATCTGACATCTTGTGAGAGGTTACTGTTTTCTTTCTACTTCTGCAATAATTTTTGTAAGAAAGACTTGGTGAATGAAGATCATATCTACTCCTTGCATTTCATTACTAATATGTTTAAAATATGTTACATATTTTAAATCATTAAATTATCTTTAATAACCCTTTTTGTTTTATATTTCTTTTTAACTTGCTGGATATGATTTCTTGCTTTGAGGTAAAAGTTTAGTTTTGGTTTGTTTTTCAGATATTCTGGCCTTCCTTAAGGAATCTATTTGTCCCGGTCTTTCTAAACTGTTGGCTTGCCAAACATGCCTTGGAAAATATGATTGTAAGTATAGGAAGAAAATGCAAATACAAAAATATTTTTAAACCATTTCTTACTTCAATGTTTAGGTTAAACAGAAAAAAAGAGGATTGGGGTCCTAGTCTTGTACTTTCTCATTCTGCTGTCTTCCATAAAATGTAAACTCACACTATTAGAATTTATTTAACTATAATAAAATTTTTAAGTGTTTTTTAAAACTTGTTTTAAATTAATTTAGTATCATAGTAAATAGGCCTTTTTTTCCCCTAGAATGAGCCTTTTTTGGTAAAAACTGTTAAAGTGATATACAGCAGAAATTTGTAAATTAGCAGACCTCAGGTGACCAATCTGCTGTATCCTAAATAAAAACTTGTAAAATGTCCATATTACCAATTTACTAACTTTATAAGGTCCTATGATCAGTAAACAAAAATGGTTCAGATTTTCTCAGTGTCACTGAAAACGTAATTGCTATTTAGACTGGTCTAACCAATTAGCCAGTCTTCAGAATAAAATTACCCGTCCCTTCCAAGGCAATTGGTTGATGCATAGTGGGATCCCTTGTTATAAGGATTTAGGTAAGTGATTTTTGTCAACCTATCTTCACCTGTAGGTCGTCACATATTCCATGAAAATCTGTGGAGTTTCATAAGGCCCTGTATGGGAGCCAGAAGTCCACCATTTAAAGTCACCCTTTTAGGTTTGCTTGACTTGTGTTGTGAACTGGATATTAGGAGGGAAAAGAGAAAGCAGGAAATAGATTTAGAGATACAGAATTCAGAGCTGTGCCACAGTTGCATTTTGCCCAAGACTGACCTTGCTTGGAAGGAATGGTTCCCTTGACCAAAATGTGTTTACTGTAGGCTTCAGCACTTATAAATGAGCTGTAAGACATTTGGTATTAACATTCATTCTACAAATGTTAATATGGGTTTACTATATATGATAAACTTTCTGAAAGGCAAGTGATTTAACTTCTTTTGAAATCATTGATTTTGATGACTTTTAGTGTTTCTGCTACTTTTGTTTCACCTCTTACACATCAACAAAACATTTTCCATTGAGGATTTTTTTCCATGAGGGAAACAACAACAAAAAGTCCCTGGGAGTGAGATCAACCGAATAGGGAAGGTGAGGCACAGGGATCATGTCGTTTGGAACACTCAGCACAATGTGGGCAGTTGTGTTATCATGGTAGAAGAACCAGTCCCCTGTTTGCCACAACTCAGAGCATTTCTTCTGCAAATCATGATGCAATCTTCTCAGAACTTCCAGATAAAAACTATGGTTGACTGTTTGATTCAGAGGAACAAATTCTGAGTGTACTACAAGAGGACTGTCCTCCAAAAGATAACTGCATGTTTTGGGGGTCCCTCTTTGTGCATTTGTGTGTGTATACACACATTTTGCCTGTCTCCCCCAAACACACACACACACACACACACACACACACGCACACACACTATAAACACAGAGTATAGGTTCAAAATTATTAATTTTTTCCTTTTCAAATTATACATTCTTGGAAACAAATTTGTTTTTCACTTAAATGGGTTTTAAACAGACATTATGACAAAAGGTTTTGCCAAAAAATTTATTAGGATAACATTTTTGTATTCATAACCAGATGAATGTTTCTAGACATTTATATCCAGTAACCACTAGAGTCTCATTAAAGTACATGGCCAAAGAGTGGGAGAGTGTGGCCTGTGGAATGGTTTGCAGAAACATTGGGTGGTCTTAATTGCCCTCAAAGAAATACTGTTTGACTAAATATAGATTGCCTAAAATGATAATGAAAAAATACACCAAGAAAAAATAAACATCTTTTTAATTACTGTGCTGTTAGTTGTTGGAAAAAATAATCTAACCAAGAAAGGAGCCATTAGCTAGTCATTTAAGACAAAAGAACTGTTTTGCAATATTACTTTAGAATTCATTTTCTGTTTTATTTCTGTATCTTCTCTCATGAGTACTAAGTTTTTCTTTGCTTTTCTTTTCATTAACACCTCTGCCATTAGAAACTAAAGAATGAGAGATGAAATTAAAATTAGTTGTTTGTTTTTATGTCAGTTCTGGCTAAATGCATGGTAAAGGAATCATGGCTCACTGAAATTTTATTATTCATGAAGCTATGGATTTTGCCCTCTACTTATTTATGGTTATTAAGAGTTTATTATAAAAGAATTGAGATGAATCACAAACCAGAAAGTAAAAAATTACAAAAGTCCATAAATTGGCTACATTAGTAATAATTTATAAACTTCTTATGTTTTCTGTGAAAAACATACAGAGATATCATAAATTATATTGTATGTTTGAATTTATAATTCGAATTTCTTGTCATATACTAGTATGAAGTGAACAAGTTTTTATGTTATTAAAAATTTATCTTCAAATCATTTTTAATGATGTGATTTAATCTCTTTAATAGGTATCAATCCATTTTTAAAGATTTTTTATTGTATATTTTAGCTATTTTCACAGTAATGAGCATGTATTATTTTATATAATAATGTAATTTCATAATAAAGATGAACATACATAAATATTGGTATCCATCTGTGATGAATTCCATGTGGTTAAGTTTTAGAAATTATGTTATTCAGTACATATTTATTGAATGAATGAATGCGTGCATGAAATAGAATTTATGTCTGAGTTTTGACCTATATTACCAAGTTGTCTTCTAGAAATTAACAAATTATCTGAGTCGTAGTGAGTGCTTATTTTTTGCATCTTAAACAATACTGAATATTATTTTTACTGTCAATTGAAAAGGTAAGTATAGCATGTCTTATGTTGACATATCTCTTAATATTAATGAAATGAAACTTTAAAAAAATTATTCATTGGCTATTTAGCTTTTTTCTTTTTTTAGTATAAATTGTCTGGCCTAATTTATGTTAATTTTCCTGATGATGAGTTTTGATTGTAGTTTCTCCCAGCTATTACTTCTCTCCTAATTGAACATATTATTTTCTGACCTGTTGAAATTAGAATTTTCCATGACAGATCATGCTTATCTTGGAGGGTTCTGGGGGAGTAAGTGCAACATCTGTCCAGTTGTCTGTAAGGCATAAACTGAAATTTGGTGCTTTGGTCTTCCCATAGCACTATCTTTGTGATAAGTATACTGTGATAAATTATATTTAGATTGAGGCAAAAATGAAAATATGCTTAAAGTATATGTATTTGGTGCATATACATGTACAGGATAGTTGAAATGAAATGCATAGAAATAAATTTACTCAGACTCATGCATATTTAGTATCAAAATTTATAATATTTTTTTCTATGTTATTTTAGAACGATCTACACAGAGCCATTCAGCGTACACAGTCTGCAATGTTTAATCAAGTTTTGATTTTAATATCTACATTACTATGCCTTATCTTCACTTGGTAAGAGTGTACATATTAGCATTTTTCTTACGTTTCATTTGACTGCAGTTTCTTGAAGAAACCATAATATAAGCCATTTGCATTAGTAATTATCTTAAATAAATAAATAAATAAATAAATTCACCATAAAATGTAACAGAATAAAAGTAAAACCCTTCCTTTATTCTTACAGACAAAATCTGAATGCACATACATCATTTGGTATCGATATTTATTACAACTCTGACATTTTACCAAATGATATAAACAGCCAAACCACAAGAATTTGTACTACTGCATGCCACAGTTGTCAAACAGGAATTTTTCCTTCAAATCACTGACACGGAATGCCCTCATGTTTCTGTATTCTTCAAAGCAGAAACACCGAGAAAGCTGTCTTTGCCCATCACTGTCTCCCCCTCTGCTACATGATTTATAGTGTGCGATCAGGCAGAAAGCAAGGGCAAAATCTCCTGACAGTGGAAGATAAGACCTGGTGCTTTGCTTTATCATAAAAACAGATTTTTTTTTTTTCCTTTTCAGAAAGTCACACTTTGGCAATTGCACAGTAATCCAATCATGGTGCACTGTACATATAGATTCATTCAGATTCTCAATAAGAAAAAAATGTGGTAATCAACAAATGAGATAGAATATGTCTATTTTGAAGGAGTCTTAGTTATTATATACAATTGTGTTGTGACCTGGATTTGATTCCATTGTGAAAGAGAAAAAGCTAATTAGGAAGTACTAAAAAAGGAAAGATGCACATGAACATTAGTACAACTGAGCTAGATATAAATTTAACTATAGATACGTGTAATTAAATATATAGATATGACAACCTTTTGCATCAGTAATATGTGTTAATAACTCTATTAAATTGATTTCAAATGTTTTATTGCATACTTTTATTATTAAAAAAATACTTTGACATATATAATGCCTTTAAATATAAAATACTCCACTAAAATTGACACAGCTCTTTTATCCTTTAGATTTTTTTCTTTCACTTTTCACAAAGTGTTTTTGTGAAAGACAGTTTCACCTAGAATGCAGGACATGAATCACTGAGTAAATATCTAACTACATATATATAAAATATTAACAGTAATGACTTTTCTTCTACTGTCATTAAATTTTTAAAATTTCAATATAATGACATTATTTGGGTAATTTAGGTGTTCTCTCATTTTACTTCAAGAAAAGTACGCAAAATTTAAAATTTTATGTGTGTATGGTATGCCTATGCTAATATTTCAATTGCTGGAAATTTAGAAAAATTAAAATGAGTGATTTCTAAATATAATGTGGAAGTCTCAAAGTAAATTTAGTAAAGAGGTAATTGAAATGTTGATGACAAAATAACAAATGATTTTTACATGGTGACCTTTAGCAGTACTTTCTTTCTGAAGGCATCCTCCTCACAATAAATCTTCATCTCCAGTAGGCTTTCTAGGTGCTCCTCCTTTCTGCCTAATACTTCTGTTTTGGGGGTAACTGTTACTTTCAAAGGCAGCAATAGAGAAATTTTGCTACTTTTTTTGGTACCAAGAAATGCAACAGTGCTAAAATTGTCTAAATAAAATTTCCAATATGTAATTTATTCATCATTGAAATCATTTCTATTTCATTGTTTTATTTGCTGTTGTGGTTGTTGTTTTTTGTGTGTGTTTCAGTTTTAGACAATTGCTATCTAATGTTCCAGTTGTCACTGATATTTGGATATGTCTCTTAATGTGCAATAGTTATATAGAGTTAAGTTTAGCTACATAAAATTGTATTATTTTTAACTGCTTGCATATTAATATTTTTAAAATTATGCTATCTAAAATAGAGAAAATATTTTATTTTTTTGTATATTCTCCACATTATAAGCAAAATGACTTCACAAATAGTGATCATCATAATTAGATGGAATAATATTATTTGAATTCAACATCAAAAATGTAATTATCTACCAAGAAGTATATAAACAGTGTTATGTTAGTCATATCATAACAGGCTATTTTAATAAATGGTTACATGATACACAATGCAAAATACAAACATACACAAAAATACAACAACTTAAATAGAAATGTCTAGGTAGTCTGTCCAGGACTGGTTTACCAGTTTGATACTGTTGAGACTAGATTTCCTTATATCTTGTTTTCTGAATATTGAGCCATTTACCATATCAGAAATTAACATCGTTTTTCCTACCTGACTTACAAATACGCATACACACACGCACTATATTTTGGTGAGATTAGTTATAATTAATTGCTCTTATGTTATATCACAGAGCAAGACTATCAAAGCAATCAGAACTTTTAAAATGTACATTGTAATTTGAGCTGGTAAAATATAAGAACTAATATTTGGATGCATTGGCTACATTGTTCATGAATCTCACAATCTGAAAGTTACCTGTTTTAGAAAGTAGTTACATAGATTAAAAAATATCTTCTCTATATCATTTCAAAGAACTATCATTAAGCATCTGTCTGCAAGAGACACGTGCTCAGTGCCAAACTAAAGTAAAAATTAGGTTGCTGATCCACTCTCTGTAGAGAATGTGCTCAGAATTATTTTTCTCATCATTGTAAGGGAATTGGACTAATTTGTCCACATATTGGCAATGTACCCCTCTTAAGCAATAATGCACACTTGCAAGACAGCTGGGAATTATGATTCCTTCTGTGTCTTAGAAACAAAGCTGGGTAAACTGGTACATCCGGGACTTAAGTACATAACTTTAGCTTAATTATCAACACATTTTGACCAATAATAAGCACTATAATTTATAGTGTATTTGATGTTTCTAATTTCATACTGATGGTTTTATTTTGCAACTACTTTCAAACTTTAATTTTGTCTGAAATAATACATGTTCATATTTTAATATTATTTCATAGTTATAACAAATAACTACATTATATTAATTGTTTTTTTCTTTAACTCAATGTTAAAAATTCAACTCACCTCCTCAGTCTTACTTTAGGAGAAAATAAATCCATTTATTTAGTTTAAAAATATGATCTAGTTAAAAATTATTGACATGCTAATTCAAAAGTATTTGGGATTTTCTTATGCATTCATTAACAATTATTTGAATGCTGGATGCTTACATTCTTGAGCTCTATTTACCTATGAAAAATGGTGTCCTAGGATTATTGATTCAGAAGAGAAGCCATAACTAGGGAGTAAAACTTCTACAATTTTTTGATCAAAAAAGAAAATCTCTTTGAAATAATTTTCATAAATTGCATTTACATACCTTTATAAAAATGATAAACCACACCTTAGGAAGTGGACAGTGGGAAGATAAGAACTGTAGTTTGGAGAAAGTATTACAACATGGTCTAATGATTGTTAATTGTCACCCTTGTGATATTTGATTCCTACATTTTAATTTAAATTCATTTGTTTACATTATAAATGAATGACAGAAAGTGCATTTGTCTGAAGACCTGGCAATTGACTAATAACCCGTGGGTTTGTACTATAGTAAAACAAGTAGAAAACTATTTCTTCTAACTAGTATTTGCATATGTAGGTAGCCAGATTTTAGGTAGTTAATTAGCTAAGTAAAGTACTCAGTGTGCAGAAAGAGGAATATGGTTATTTAACCTATATAAGTAATGCTATAATTATTATTAATATAAATCTATGAAATATGATTTTGAACTAAATTCTGTATCAAATAAGCTATATAAAATGAAAATATGTTAAATGATGACATATGAATATGTCATCATTTATGTATGACTTTTGAAAACTTTCTTATTCTGTGGTTTAAAATTTTATAATGGAGATATATGTATAATTTTGAAAACAAATAAGACAAAGTTACAAAAATGAAGAAACATAGAGACAATAAAACTTAATACAAAATGCAAAATATAATTACACTTTAACATTCAGTATGATTTATGTAATTAATTTACTATTTATTCAAATTGTTCTCATATCCAGTGTTTTTAAAAAGGCCAGTTCCTCATTTGTTTCCTCCTATTTACCCTTTAAATCTCAACTTTTAGATTGTAGCTTCTCAGTGAAGCATTCTTGAAGTCTGCCTGAATTATGGAATATATTCAAACTTTATGCTTCAGCATTCCAACCTTGTGACATATATAGTGTTTAATTATCAGTGTTTCTTCCTAGACTTTTGGGATACATAAGAACAAACACTAGATTTGCCTTTCTTACTTTTTCTTTTGCCCAACATCTCAAATGTTTGCAATTGATAGACAATAACATTCTGGGGTAACCATACCCTTATCAATTGAGATACTTAAATATATTGTAAATTAAGCATTTCAAACCATATATTTTGAGAGTGTTACTTCAAAACTCCTGTTTTAGTTAACGTTTCTATGAGGTCATAAGAAGGAACCTTTGTAGTCATAAATGTCCAGGCTTCAGATGTGTAAACATCTATGAAAAACAGTGTCCTAGGATTATTGCTTCAGAAGAGAAGTCATAACTAGGTAGTAAAACTTCTACAACTTTTTGATTAAAAAATAAAATCTCTTTGAAATAATTTTCATAAATTGCACTCACATACCTTTATAAAAATGATAAACCACACTTAGGCTCTTAATTCTGTCTCCGTATAACTTCTAAATTTATGCCATGGGAATTTTTTCTTTTTTTCTCTTAATTTTAGAATTTGTAAGACAGCACAAGGTAACAAAATTACTGAAAGTATCAACTGTGCTGAGCACAAAAACAAATTGGTTAAATACTAGGAGCATTGTATAAATATTCCATCATGTTTTTTTCCTTCCATCATTGTTTAGGATTTAAAAAGAAAACGTTTCTTCTACTTCTCTCTTTGATTTTTTGTTCTTGAAATTTTACTTTTATTTTCATCTGATCTAAATCTTGATCCTCTCCTGAAAATCTGATCATCTTCCATTATTTTGAAATAAAGAAAATGCATGTTTAGCATTAGACCACAATGTGGGGCATTGTCAGCTTTCATGAATTATTAATTGGCAGTGTAAATTGACTCGGTTTATGGTTTATGGCAT